ACTTTCAGTGTGCAATGTTGATAGATATATATTTATATCATAGTTAACACTATCAGTAAATGTGTTAATTTCAGATATACTACGTAAATTTTAAAAGCACATACTAATTCAATAGATTTTCTTGTTTCCGTATTTGTCAAATGTTTTTGTTTCTTATTTACCCCGTGGAAATAATTGTATTTGTCCGAATAATATATTTCTATTGATAATAGGCTCAATTTGTTATGTTATATGAAATTAAAATCATAAAATTATCACAAACATATTAATGATAATATTGTGTAAACAGGCGTTTTGCTTAGGCTTTTTCTTTTTTTTTTCTCTGAAATATTCTAATGAAGTAAATTTAATAATAAATGATGATCTGAAAATAAGTGTACCAGTGTCGACAATTATTTTACTGTTTTGTTTACTATGTGTAGGTGATCACGTAGATCTAAACTCCCTGGAATCGAACGATCAAAATCAAGTGCCGCCAGGATATAATCAAGATCACATTGATTCATTTCGTGGCCCACCTATGAGAGTTATACAAGGGTATGATCCAAGAAGTAGAATGCCTCCTCCACCTCCTCCGCCACCGCAGCGATCAGCTATACCACAGTATCAATTTAACACATGGAATGTGCAAGAACATAGTCCACCTCAATATGCACAACAACACGGGTCAAGGCAATGGATGGCCTGAATTTATGTAACTATATAACTTACTTTTAAGAGAACTTTACAGAAGTAACTAAAATCAAAAGCAAGTATATGAGCCGACTAAAATTTATCTGGCGCCGTTTCATCAGATTTATTTGGAAAACCAAATTATCTTCAAAAGTTTCATAAATCTCGAGCTTGAATTTATTTTGTTTTAAAATATCAATTGATTGAGCGATTAGAACAGAATGTTGAATTATAATTAATCACAATGTGAGAGTGTTTCTCATAAACTGCCATGCCAAAAGAACGGTTATATATGTTAATGAATATTACATCTTGATATTATTTCCAAAATTAAATATTTTTAACTTTGCCATAACTCTGATAGTGTTTTTATAGAAGTTAAAAGTTATAGATGTGAAGAAAGGCATTCTTAAATAAAATTTCTAAGTTGTTTATACTAAATATAGGCCTGAATCTTCAATTATATTAGGACATAACTAATTTACCTGATAAATTATAACTATGATAATTTTAAAATGTAAATAACACTAGTGTACAAAAAAGTACATATATATATATATATATATATATATATATATATATCTGTTTGTGTGATAATTTTTTGGGATGGTGATAAATATGTTGATAAAACTATAAACTTTTTAAGCAGGCAACTATCTAGATAAAGATAAAGAAAACTATCTTTTGTTTCTTAAGGTGAATGTTAATTAATGGTCCATATTTTTCGAGTCCCAATTTGACTCTTTTTCAGTGGCAACAGTGACATATTAATGAAAAAATAATAAAAAATGAGAATGAATTATATTTATAATTAAATAAAAAGAAAAATAATAAATTTGAACATCACATCACATCTGAAAGAACGAAACACAAATGTCAAGTCTTAATCCACCTTGAGAAACAAAATATAGTTTTCAATATCTTTATTATCTGGGTGGATGCCTGTTTAAAAAGTTTATGGTTTTATCAACATATATATATATATATATATATATATATATATTTATTTATATATACATATATATATATATATATATATATATATATATTTATATATACATATATATATATATATATATATATATATATTTATATATATATATATATATATAATATGCATATGTATATATATATATATATATATTATATATATATATATATATAATATGCATATGTATATATATATATATATATATATATATATATTTATATATATATATAATATGCATATGTATATATATATATATATATATATATATATATATATATGTATATTAGGGTGGCCCCTAACGATGTTTCGGCCCTTATGAGATTTTATAATTTATTATTTATTTATAAGTAAGGAATTTGTATATAAACGAATCATAATATATATTTTTTATTTGAAATCGTCAATTACTTAAATTATTTATAAATGGTTGATATTTCTTGCGAAATTTAAAATACTTTTTCTACTATAAAATGTTAAGCAAAATTCTGCTACTATTCATTTTGGGCGAGACCTTTGTGACATCATAATTTTCTGGTAGCAAACAAATGTTAAACGTTTTATTTAGTTTAGTTTGTTCTAAATCCTTAACATAAATTGAGTTCAACTCCATACAATTCTTACTGGAATGATATTGTTATTCTAATAAGAATCTTTGTTCTAAGATATACTAATTACGTATTATAACATATGTTTAGGCATTAGAACTAATCAGTTGATAGGTGAAACCAATTAACATTTTCTTTTTAACTTTCCGAAGAAGTTTATGTTTTCATCAAAAAATCCGAAAAATGATTCGCTAATTTTGTGTTTACTCGACGTTTCAAGCCATCCTGAATCGAATGAGACCAAAATTGGAAAAAGTATGTATGTGTAATGTTGCCGTAAATCAACGTTTTCTGAAAAACGCCTGGACCTATTTCAAAAGTTTAAAAGCCATTAGATGTATCTCGATGAGGATTTCGTTTCTTAGTTTTGTGCGACGATCGGAAGAGCCGTTTTTTTGTGATTGAGAAAAAAGTATTAAACTTTCCGTCCACATTTGAGCTCATACTACCGAATCGATCTTAAAAAATCAAAATCTGTTCGGAAGATATTAGTTGGGAATGATACTGATTAGTTTTAGGTGAAAATCTACCGAGCTGTTTTCTTATAATTAACTGTTGAAAAAAAATTTTAGCCGTTTTTCATGGAACTTTTTTTGGCGATATATATTATCATATACTCTTCTTTTATCTATGTATATCATGATCTTATAAAACTTACTGAAATATTACGGCCTTACGACAAGGAGTTTGATTTAAAAAATTCATCAAAATTTAAGAAAATAAGTAGTTTTTTTTTGACGTTTGTTGAAATTAAAATTAGACGATTTACTCGGTATAACGTTAGAGTAATTGGTCCTAATGATCATACTTAACCATTAAAGTACTACGGAAACTTGTTCAATTATAAAAATTATTGATTTTTGAAAATTTGCTTTTAGAAAATACTCCTAGTTAACGTGTTAGTTCATTTTCAATTATGTGTAATAAATCCACTCGGAATAATTTTAATCACTCATAAACTAATTTATTTTTTATTGATTAAGTCAATTATTTGCACATATCGAGAACTTCATGTAATGTGACTCAATGCAAAATTCCAGTACCAACTAGTTATTTTACTGTTATTCAAAAGCAACTGTTTAAGTAAATATTAAACTTGTAATATTAGGTACATATATCAATTTCGTCAAAGTTTTTGGGAAGTAATTAAAAAGTAAGTTTTAAATCTTTAAAATTAATATATAAATAAAAAGATTAAAACGCCAAGGTATAATAAAAAAGCAAATAATTCTGAAAGTATTATTTATTCAAAAGCACAATTATTTGTTAATTATTTTTTTTATAATTTTTATTTCTACAGTTGATTTTTTCGCAAATAAATATGTTCGAAAATATTGCAATATCTTGTGGGAACAGATTATAATAGTTTATGTATGTATATATATATATATATATATATATATATATATATATATATATATATATATACATTTATATAGGTATATGAAATTTACTTGAAACTTTGGCTGAATCAAATCATATCATCAATGCGTTGTATTATTTACAAAACAGAGTATTAAATCTGATTCTCTCGACAAATTATGTTATCTAGTTTTCAAGCCAGGGCATATTATTGATGTATGGATAACATTAAATTTTATAAAAATATATACATGCTAGGGTCTATAGATATGATTGTTAACACATAATAATAAACATTTCATGTTCGAGCATACAAATATACGGTTTAGTATTCTCGAACACAAAAGTGATGTGACATAGACTAGCAAGGCACATGAATCAACAATGCACAGCAATCATTTTACAATTAATATGTCTAAAGTATTCAAAGATTATGTTTATTTTGATGAATACAATTCAAAAAATTTAGGTTTTTTATGCTTAGACTAAATTTTTTAAAATATATTTTTAGTTGTTTTATTATTATCTACATCATAATTGCAAACGAGCACATTTGATACATGTGCAATTTAATTATTGTCATTAAAATTTATTGACATATATTAATAACATAGCTTCTTCTGCTTTAAATCTAAAGGTTCAGACAAAATAACTGTCACAAATTCAATGTGCATAAATAATTCAATTATTAACAAAAAAATATATAAACGATCTAACAATTTTAATATGAAATTTATAGTCTTGAGACGATTAAAACAGTTTTTGTATATAGCTTTTATATTTACATTTAACATATAATGTCATTTCACCTTATGAATGACAGCTTAATTATAAAATCTATCACAATTTCATCATATTTTAGATAAACATCTTATAAAATTCCTGTTAGAATATGTAACACGTAATAATGATATTATAATTAATTAAATTAAAATCATTTATTGAGAAAAGCTAGATGCGACATCTTAGCCGAGCAGCTCCAATTATCTATATTTATCAAATTTAATAATATATAACATATCTCAATGCCGACAAATGAACTAAATGATCACCAAATAATAACAAATGTGCATAATTTATAATTGGAAATTATCGTAGATCTCAATTTATACATGAACGAAATGTTTTAGTATGTTCTGTCAAATTAAGTGATATTCATGATGGTTATCCACTAACATGTTGTCATTAAATAAAATGCAGCATGCACAAAATATATGAAACAAATTATTCAAGCATCTCTTAGATAAAGTTAAACTCTCATCGATCATCAAAATAAATAAATTGTAAAAACTAATTGTATATGTAAGGATTATGCAGTGAATTGTTTCTTTCATTTAATCAAAGTTCACAAAACATTATTAATTGTCTTAGTTGCCTTATAATGTTTTGCTAGAAACTTGTGGTTATTAGCAAAAAGCTTAACATATACATATTCTACATAAACATCTACATAAAAAAAGATGTTTATATTGAATATCAATGCAGGTGTGATTTATTTGATGATTTTAATAGTCTTCAAATCTTCGTTCCCTAGAACACTTAGAACAGTAATAATCCATTTCTGGGCTGCCAAAAAACATGCAATTTATTGTTTTGCAAGGCTTAGCTTTTCCAAATGGCGTTTGGATATTGTGAAATGATGTTCGGTCAGCTAAATCAGAATGATCATGATTTGAATAATAATTCATCGAAGATTTGACCTTCCTGATATCAACATCTTGTTCTATGTGGTCTGTGCTCTTATCAGCCGATTTTATATCTCGTGAAGTTTTTGCTTTCGATAATACAGAACTATTACCTATTGTATTTCCTGGTGAAAATATACTTGCTTGTCCTGGAATATTGACTTTAAGAGGTTTAAAAGGTATATTTGGCATATTGTCATATGTTTCTGCATGAACTCTATCTTGGCCGCCTACTAATCTTTCGTAACCATTTCGATGGTGTTGTTTTGGTGAATTAATTTCTCTATCGGCTTCTGTTAATCTTGAATTTTCATTCTCATATAAAGACACATTTTTTCTAACATCATTGTAAAAAGTACTTTTCGATAAATATAATGTCTGGTCCAAATTATTTAAAGCCTTTACTGATGGCATTCTTTTTATAAATTCATGTGATTCTATATCTGTTTCTGCATAAAATTTTGAGTTTCCTGTATCATATCGAGGAGACAAGTCATCAGTTTGACTTAATATTTCATCATTTCGTTGTTTTTCATAGCAGTCTGTGCACATATAACTTGTCAGTGCAGTGCCAAATTGATCACATCCAGGGTTTATGCAACTTAATGATCCTTCTAAATATGCTTGTTCTTGAAGTTTTAAGTTTTCAAAATGCTGCCTTTCTCTTTCTTGTTTACATTTATCTGATTGTGATTTCAAAAATCTCTCTTGTGCAAATTCTAAATAATTTCTAACCATTTCTTCTTGATATTCATGTCGTTTAGCTCTTAATTCTGCACATAACAACTTTGATTTTACTATATTTACTGAAGAACTTCCTGAAGTTAAAGGTTTCTTTTGATTTTTGGCCATTTTTGTCGTTATTGATCCAATATTTTTCTTGAATCTTTTGCTCATAGATTTACCAATTGAACCAAACTGTTTAGCAACTGACTGTAATTGTTTGGCTGCCTTGCTTTTATTATTGCCAAAAATTGGTCCATCATTTTCATCAGCCATAACTTCAGGTTCTGTAAATTTTTTTTCAATTTCATCCTCTGAAAAATCAACTTCATATTCTTCACCAGGAGAAAGTTGTGAACTTACATACACAACATCTAGATATTCTTTAAGAACATTTATTTGATCTCGCTCTGTTAAAACAAAATTTTTCAAATTAGCAGAATCTTTATCATCTTTGCCCCATACAAAAGCTTCGCCTGGATCTATACTGAATTGAATTGGCAATAAATGATTTTCTGCATCAGTTAGTGGTATAACAGCTGGTGGTATTATTACAGATTTATCTCCAAAACTTTCTTTTTCCATCACAACTAATGCAGAGAAATGAGCCATATCATAAGTCAAAAGTAGTGGAGATCTATGGCAATCTGATGGTAAACATTCTAATGGCAAATAAATACCTCCAAAAGGAATTGGTGCCATTGCTTCGCCATTCTGATCTTTTAGCATCACATCTGCTATAACAATAATGGGCCTTCTTAATACATGTGCTAAAGCCAACACATGGATTTCTTCTAAACTTTCATAAGTTGCATTTTCAAAAGCTTCAGTCTCATCTGACATGCGAGTATCCATAACACTACGTCTCCTATAAGGTTTTCTGGGCTCTGTGGAAGCCATTGAAACAATGCCTTCCCATTCTTTTGACCACTCTTCTTCCGAATACACAAAATTAGCCTCTGCATTCATTTTTGATTGTTGCCACCTCCATCTTCTCCACAAGGCATCTCTACAGGGATCATTTGTTAACAAGTTAAACAAAGCTCCTCTTAGAGTTAATAAACGATCATGAAAACCCCACATTGCTAATGAAGCTGCATGTAGTAAACAATTTCCATCACCTGTATTGTAAATAATTCCTTTTAATAATGGTTTTGTAATAATTTAATTTGTGTGTAATTAGCAATATTAAAAAAAAAAACAATTAACCATTTTCAACAATTAACCATGTAAAAAAAAATAACATAAAATTTACCTGTAGTTGCTAAGGCCACAATCTTTGACATATGCCATTTGCAGCCCACCAATTCAACCGTCCTGATTGTTCTAAAGCTACCAAACTCGAGTTTTCTATCAAATCTTTTTCCAAAAATTTTCTGTAAAAATTGATTTTATTTATTTCTCTCTTACTTTCACTCTATGATCATTAACTTACTTGAAATCATTACTGTATACAGTTAAATCAGGCAAAGTAAAGGTATATTCTGGAGTTTCTATATAGCATTGTTTTTTTAATGTATTGTGCATTACTGGAAAATTCATTGCAAACTCATTTCTTGCTTTAGAAACTAAATTCACATTTTCTGTAGCTCGGGATATGCCTCTAGCCAATTTCTTGCCTTTAAAAATAAATCAAATTTAGTATGTAATAACTAATAACTTTTTGAGGTTATTCGACCATATGATAAAATATATTATTAATGAAATTATATTACATATATAATATTATATAAAGACACGCACACACACATACATATTTCATCATAGACTTACAATCTTCCACATCCAAAGCATTACTCTTGAGAAGACTTGGTCGTCTATAGGCATTATTTTTATTACTTGTGTAAGTCTCAGGGGTAATTTGAAGTGGTAAATTTGCAGGTATATCTAGATTATTTGCCATAGATGAATCATGATCAACAGACTGATCTTGTTGTTGATCATAATTCATTGATTTTAAATCTGTAATATAAGGAGAGTATAATAATAATATCAATGGTTTTATGCCAGGGCAACAGTGTAAAATTGCAATTTTACCTAGAGAGACTGTATTTTTCACATTTTCAAATGTAGTTAAAGCCGAAGACAAGTCCCAACCTTTTGATTGTAGTAAAGCGTGAGATGCTTGGGAACTCAACCCAGTTTGATTCATTAAAGCAGTAACCATGTGTGATTCCATTAGCCTTTATTTTTATTTACCATTTTATAGAAAACTATCTTTAATCAAGATCTGATTCACAATAGCAAAGCATGAAATATTAACTTAATTATGCCAGCTTTAGAAATGATATGTTTATCTTCACAAATATTTAACAACTGTATTGTAAGAGTTTTTTAAAATAAAATTAATATAAAAATAATGAATAAACATTTTTATATGATTATTATGAACAATAAAAAAACACTGTACCATTTTATATCACTATAGTATAATGCCAAAGTTCTTAATATTATGTGTATTTTATATACAAATATATCTCTTGTGTTTTGAATATTCTATTTTTCAAGATAGAAACTTCATTTAGTTCTGACACATGCAGTTTGACATTTCTCCATTTATAAATAAATTAACGTTACGTTGAAGGCCAGCTTGATATTTTTGGCGTGTGTTCATTATGGTGTTCATATACGTGCATTTAAATCCAAATTTCGGCAGTACTTAGATATTCATTGGATTGAATTGTTTTGTTTCTTTTTTATTCAAAAACCATTATGAATGCTAATTATGTTGATTATAACGGGATTGCACTGAAATTATTCAAAATGTTTGATAGCTTGTTCAGTATCAAATATCGATGTAATTATTATTTTAATTAGTATGCATCGGTTATGTTATTGAAATCATATTATGTATATATATATAGATTATTTATCTATGGTTGTCTAGCTCTGAATTTAATATTCTTCATTAGCGAGGACGCAAACCATAAATTTTATATGATAGAAATACCAGAGAAGGGGCACTCAAATATTTTGTATAATAATTATAAATAAAAACAAATTGTTTTAAATGCTATTTAAGATCAGATATATCTCTTACATTCATATGCTTACATTCTTATGCATTCTTATGCTTACATTAATGTGTATGGTCTAAGGTCATAACCATCATGTTTACAATGTTGGTAACATTTTAAACTCTATTGCCGATATATTGCATCATTTGTGACACATGTGCTACTTTGCTTTCAGAACTGAGAACGGCTTCCACGGGCTTCCACCTTCCTTCGCTATTGTGTCCGCAAAGAATATGAAAATAATATATTACACATAGTGCATATAGTTTTTCTAATACACCATACACTTATAAAATAAATAATAACAAACATTTGAAGTACATCAGGTTAAAATGCCGGAAGGTGTAGAAAATTTAGGTACATATTTGATTTTATATACAAATTTTTGATAGAAATATGTTATTAGATATCATAGTTCTAGGAGAATTATATACATCGGAGAAGAATGGTAGTGATGAAACAGGAGATGGAACTGCAGATCGCCCTTTCAAAACAATTCTTCAAGCCATGAAACATGCTGGTAAGGAGCCATTTCCAACGATATATGTTGATGCAAAGGAACCAGAGAGTGGTGAGAAATATGAACTCGCTGCCAAATCTCAACTCAAGAAAATACAAAAAATATGGGTAAGCCCTATGTTAAAATAGAATTAATTACCATGATTCACATGTGTATAAAGTTGCATCATTTTCAAATGTTTAATAATTTTACATTATGAAGGTGAGAGATACATATAAAAATGCAGATAAATTAAAGAAAGAGGAAGAGGATGCAAAGAAACGAGAACAGAATCTGATGGAAGCTAAAAAGATTCAAATTCAAGAAGACAAAAATTTACCAACCGCTAAAGTTATAAAAATTAAGCAAGGTATTGTAACATATTTTGCAAACTTTTATGTTAATTTCAAAATATTATGGTATTAATATAATATTTATTGATAACTAATTATTTTAACAAACTTTACTGAAAATATTTTATGCAAGTCTGGTTAGAGGCAAATTTTTAATGTAAATAAATATTGAAGATGTATTATTTTAACTTTTTAAATTGTACTAGGTGAATTTCATCGAGATTGCCGAGTTAAGATTTATGGGTGGGTGCATCGTTTGAGACGTCAAGGAAAGGCTTTGATGTTTATTACTTTGAGAGATGGTACAGGGTTTCTTCAGAGCGTTCTGAATGACACTCTTTGCCAAACATATGATGCTTTGGTTTTATCTACTGAGTCATCTGTATTGTTATATGGCACTTTGAAGACGGTTCCTGAAGGCAAAGTCGTAAGTTTTTTTCAGTATCGCTGTTCTTCATTTTTGTAATATATATATATATATATATATATATATATATATATATATATATTGTATGATTCTGAATTTGATGTTGACATATGTATTAATAAAGTCTAGTAATCGGGCATAACATCAATAAAAAACATGAATTTCTTTCAAAAATTTATTTTAAATCCATACGTTTCGGCTATAATCCTAGCCTTCATTCAGTGGAAAAATTAGTGAATCAATAATTAAACTTGTAATTACGCAATATTTTCACGAAATACTAATTTAAAAATACAATTGGATAGTGTGTTGTTTGTAGACTGGTTGAAGATATAAATTATATCTTCATGTTTTTTATGGATGTTATGCCCGATTACTAGACTTTGTTATATATATATATATATATATATATATATATATATTTATATATATTATATATATATATATTTATATTATTATATAAATATATTAATATTATTTAATTTAATATATTAATTTTATTATTTATTTAATTTAAATAATTAAATATTATATATATATATATATATATATATATATATATATGTTTTGGCACTTAATTTTTATTTCTGACATATTTTCTTTTCAGGCACCAGGTGGTCATGAATTACAAGTCGATTATTGGGAGCTGATAGGACTTGCTCCAGCAGGCGGTGCTGATACTGTATTAAATGAGGATGCCAATCCTGATGTTCAATTAGATAACAGGTTAGCATTAGCAAAGTACCATTATTATTTTTATTTTATTTGTATATTTCAAACCAAACAATATTTTGAATAAATAGCAAACTATTTATAATTCAATTCAAATTTTTCAGACATATTATGATCAGAGGTGAGAATACGGCTAAAATTCTCATGATGCGAGATGTCATAACTACTGCATTTAGGGCACATTTCAAAGATAGAGGTTACTGTGAAGTCTTTCCTCCAACACTTGTGCAAACACAAGTGGAGGGTGGAAGTACCTTATTCAATCTAGATTATTTTGGGTATGTGGTAAAAATTATTGCTATTGTTTCTAACTAATTCTGAAATATTATACAATTTAAATATAGGCAACAAGCATATTTAACCCAGTCTTCACAACTTTATTTGGAAACCTGTTTGCCTGCATTGGGTGATGTTTATTGTATAGCTCAGAGTTATCGGGCTGAGCAGAGTCGTACTAGAAGGCATTTAGCAGAGTATGTACGAAGTCTTCTTATATAGTAACTTGTTTAATTCATAATATTTTATGTTCTTTACTATGTTTTAGATTCACACATGTTGAAGCAGAATGTGTGTTCTTGACATTTGATGATTTATTAGATCGTTTAGAGGATTTAGTTGTCGATGTAGTTGATAGAGTGCTAGCATCTCCATTAGGATACATTGTACATGAACTTAATCCTGATTTTAAACCACCAAAAAGACCATTTAAAAGGATGGATTATGGTGCTGCCATAAAATACTTGAAAGAAAATAATATCACTAAAGATGATGGAACATTTTATGAATTTGGAGAGGTATATTGATAATAAAATAGTTTGTATCATTCACTGTGATAATGTGCATAATTTTTCGATTAGGACATACCAGAAGCTCCAGAGCGCAGAATGACGGATGCAATCAATGAACCTATAATGCTTTGTCGTTTTCCAGCAGGAATTAAATCATTCTATATGTCCAAATGCCCTGAGAACAAAGAACTTACTGAAAGTGTTGATGTACTGCTACCTGGTGTAGGAGAAATTGTGGGTGGTTCAATGCGTATTTCAGATATTGATGAATTACTCAAAGGTTTTATCAAATATTATGCTTAATAGATTTATTTTATTACTTAAAATAACACATTTAATGGGTACAGGTTATGAGCGAGATGGAATTGACCCTACTCCTTATTACTGGTATACTGATCAGCGCCGCTATGGTACAACGCCCCATGGAGGTTATGGTCTAGGCCTCGAACGGTTTCTTTGCTGGTTGCTCAATCGGTACCACATTCGTGAGGTATGCTTGTATCCACGATTTTTAGATCGCTGTGCGCCATAAATTATTGTCTTCATATTTGTAATATTATTTATCACAATATATTATTTGTTTTAAAATTGTTGTTAATTTTATTCGTTATAATCATAATTTATCACAATTTGAGAGTTACTTAATACATATACAATCGATATAACAATTATTTTTATTTATTTTCATTCATCTTCGGATTCGATATGATTTACCTCATAATTCTTGAGTATTTGTCTAGCTTCCATATTGTCGCTATCGGAATCTTCCGTGTTTGTACTCGATCTATAAAAATATTTATAAATATTGTAACTTAATTACAATAAATTTAAGCATTGCAAAATTCTTGTAATATTCACCTGCTAGAAAAACCAGTTCGAAAATAATCCATCCCATTGAGAACTGTTGACAAATTGCCTGTTCCTAAATATTGGCATTCCTTAAAATCACAAGTTGAACTTTGATTGCTGGAGTCTGTGCTAAATGATTGCAATCTTCGAGATATATCTTGAAGCTCTTTGTTATCAAAACGTGCACTCTCTTGTTCGCTTAAAAGTGTTTTGAGACTGTAATTATAAAATGTGTAATAAAAGTGATTAATAAAATTACTGTTACCCTATCAATTATAATTAGTTATTTAATCTTTCACTATTCAAAATAATCTATAACAATAAAATTACTATTTTTAACTTACTCAATAGCTTTATTTTTCTTTATTTGCACATTTATATTCTGTTGCTGGTCTGACTTGATTCTATGTACTTCTCTTAATGCTCGAGCCCATTGATCTTTGAAAAACGCTTTAGATTTTTGTGCTTCTAGTAACTTTTCATATGTTGTTTTCTGAAGCAGAAGCAAGTTAAGCAAAAAAAATATAAATTACGTAACATGATGTACATACCAATTGATGCACAAGTGTCGCCGTCTGTTCTTTATTCAGAGATGTTTTCTTTATTGTTTCATAATCTTCTTGCTGCTTTGCAATTTGTTCTTGCAATCTCTTGTTCTCCTTTTGTAGATTTTGTATTTTTTCTGTTAATTCATTTTTAACAGAGCTTGCCTGTGATAATTTGTGGTTTAAATCATCTTCTAGTCTTCGTGCTGCTTCTTTCAAATCCATATATTGTAAGTTGTACTGCCTTTCCAAATCCTCTTTAGCTTTTATAAGCTGCATGTATGAGAATGAATTTATTGTATATTTTCATCACATAATGTTTTATATAAGTCAGTACCTGTTTTTCAGTATCAATATTTTTGATACCAGCTGTCTTTGCATCATTGTTCGCCTTTTCTAATGCAACTGCTAAAGATCGACTGTGTTCTATTTTCTTTTTCAATTGAGATTCAATTTCGGTCCGCTTCTTATACCACTCAGATGATAAATGACCTAAGTGCTTTTCCTCCTTTTTTTTAAGCTAGAATTAAAGTGATAGCAATATTTTACCTCAAGATGATCATGAAAATTAATTTACCTGTTGAACTAAAAATATTAGAAATTCTCCACTGGAGCTCGTCCAATAATTAAATTTAAATAGCCACAATAAGCCAGAAGTCCACAGCAAGTGACAGTTTTTTTCCTTCCAAGCATTATAGGATAATTTTATAGAATTTAAAATTTTATCATAAAGAGGTACCCGAATAAAATTTATAACTTCTTGATACGTTTCAATAATTTCATTATTACTTTCAATAAATCTTTTTAATAATTTGGTGTACCAAATCTGTTTTTGAAGAAATATTCGACTTGTGATTACTGTAGGATTGTCAGCTTCCTGTGGACAACAGCCTGCATGAAATAAATTATAATACTTACTACAAATGCATCACACATCTAAGGAAATTAAAAAATAAATATACCTCTGCAAGAAACATTTCCTGTTGCTTTTCTTTCCAGTCTTCCAGCTCTTCAACTATCTTAATAGAGATATGTTCTAAAAATGTTCAGAATTGCATAAAATGATGAAATTATTATATATTTTATTCTGTTATCATATATACCATTTGACTTATTTTGCTCCACTTTGTCTCCGCCGCCTTTCTTGATGATGAAATTTGTACTGATGCCTGTCGCATTAGATTCCTCTGTTATTGTTTCCAATAAATATTTGCTGGAAGCTAAATTTTGATGGGGAGGCTTCTCATGTGTTTGAGAAATACACATACTTCTGAATTCAGTCTTCATTTTTGTACTATCTGTACTATATGTACTATAAAGTCAGATTGCAATTAATATATTAAGTAATACTGAGATAGTTGTATGATCTAATTGTTAATACCAACCTATCTGGCATTAGACGATCAAATCCATTTTTTCCTATATTATCACTACAAACAGAATTTTGTCTTATTTATAAATATTTTAAACTATTAAGATAAAAACTTCAATAACTTATAAAATCTTTAAAGGACTTCTACATTCTACAAGATAGATGATACGGATAATAAATTTATAATGGAACACAATGTAAATTTCTGATAAAAAATGCATTAATAGTGAATTATAATACTTTTTACCTTACGCTATTGACATTTCCTAATTGTAATATGGACATTGGATCACTTTCTGCTTCTGAATATTCTATGTTTTGCTCTGCGGATAAATTACTTGTAATCTGTTAAACAAGTGAGATTTTTAATGAAGTATTAATATAAAGTATATAATAATTTTTATGTTCAAACATTTTTATAATCTACAGTTTCGTCAGAAGGGTGCATATATTTGATGCTAATTCCAGTTTTCAAATAAGCATCTTTAATGAGTTCACCATCATTGTTCGAAAAATAGCTGATGTCGCATTTACATACAGCATATGAATTATGTTTACTATTTATAACAAATTCTGATAGCTCATCTGTGTATATAATATCATTGATTTTTGTTTGGCAACAACCTGAAATAATGAAATCACAGCCATATAAAACCAAATTTTACAGAATATTAGTTGATATAGAGATAAATTGTAAATGAGACTGAGTAACTACCTATTTCAACGTTTTCCAAAAATAAACAAATTTTAAGGACTTGTACTTGATTAAAATATTCTCTTAAATATCTCAAACTTGATCGAATTTTTAAAACTGTTTTTTCTTGAAATTCACTTTTGCCATTAGCATCCAATTTAAATTTCTTTGTGGTAATGTTAATTCCACAAATATTGTAAAATAATGAATAGTTACAAAAATTTTCTTCACAACTGTGGATCTATAAAAAAAATATAAAAAAAAAGTACTAGCTGAGTCATAGTTGAGTGTGTATATATATATATATATATATATATATATATATATATATATACATTCACTATGTCTTGATATAACATGTCATAATTTTAGATTTTTGAATAGAATATATTACTTTAGTTACCTTTACTTTAGTTTCAGTACTTACAATGCTCAAGTTTGTCGGGGTTGCCAGAAAAATATGTATTAAATATGTATCTTTACATAATTCTTCAGGACCAATTTGTATATATTCTTTAGTTTTATTGATTTCGGGAATTATTTTTTGCAAAAATTTACCTTGGTAATCCACTGACATATTCAATTTTTTTGTTTGAGGAATTTCAGAATTTTTTTCCTGAAAGGCAAATCATTACTAATCATTATTTTTATGAAAATACTCAATATTAATATATAAAAATAGACATTACAAAAACATGATATAAGGATATATCATGCAACAAAAAATTTTGAACTTGGTTGGTATATTATGATAAAAAATTTCAAATAAAATTAAAACAATCATATGTCAATTTTAGCACTTGCTTGGATAATTTTTAAAATCAACTTATTCAATTCCTAGACAATATGAGAATATGATATATTCATATTGGTTGTAATGATACTTACATCTTCAATAAAAACTTGCCATAATATTTCTGGTTGGAAATACTCTATTAGTGGAGCTTACACCAAGCAGTTTAGACCACGATTTTTTATACTAAATAACACATACAATATATAAATTTGATGTTTGTCATAAAAAAAACTATATAAGAATGTGTTTAGATACAGACTATTTCTGAAGTACCAGGTAGAACAGATGGGGCGCTTTTCAAACATACCATTAGGTATCCTAATTTTATGTGTTCTTCTTTTTTTATTGAGAAAAATTCTACTTTTATAGATTTATTACTGAGTTTTAATCTGAAATTTTATCTAATATTTAATAAAGCACACAAATATATGCACGCACACACACACACACATATATATATATATATATATATATATATATATATATATATATTATTCCGAAATTTATAATAATGATTTATTAGATTTGGTCCTAAAGAAACATACTCCCTCAAGTCCTTTCTCTTAACCTCCCAAACCAGCTCCGTATTAAATTCAGTAGGCTTACCAGCTTCAACTGGTACAGAATCTAACGAAATACCATTTAATGTTGCTACAAAATAAACTTTAGCTGTTTGATCTATGAATGTGAAACCATTACCTAAAAAATAACAACAAATCTCTATCAACAATATATAGATATATATTTCTAGCTTAGGTACCATCTTCAATGTGTAAAACAATCTGTAATAGCGAATTGTTAGAAGAGTCGACCATTATAATTTATTACTAATAATAATTTATTATTATTATGTATTCTAATTTTAAACATAAAGTTTAAAATATAAAATGTAAATTCTATATCGCATCTGTTATGACATTTGTAGCATAATAAACAAATTCGAAAGTCAGTCGTGCCACTACCAATAATTATTATTACCTGAACATAGGTGCAGGTTATCAGTTTTAATATCAGAATCCATAATCAGAATATTATAATTTGCCTCATTATGCAGTAAAAATTATATATATATATATATATATATACATTTAATTAGTGTATTCCAATTCATTCCAATTTGCATATATTATAAAATCTTTATAAAGTTATATCAAACAGTTTTAAATTATTATTTTATTTGATGTAATTTTATATTGACAGGATTATTTATAAAAAAATGTTTATTATTAAAATTGTTATTGTTTATTAAAATATTTCTACTTATAATGAATTAAAATAAAATAAAATATTTAAATATAGTATCCGATATTCTTGAATTACCAACATGAGCAGAACGAAACTATTATCGTCACTTATAATCAAAATCTCACATCAATGTTATGGCGTGGAGTTGGTATCGCAACCTGCGGTCGTCTCCATTGGAAAATTAAATAATCAGATTTAAGGGCGTGTTTTGAGCCCCTTGAAGAATTGATTTCGTGAACAAAATAAAATAAATGGTGATGTGACTGCAATAAACATTTCTTAAAATTATATATATATATTTATTATATATTACAATTTGCTTGCATTTGACACGGCCTGCATGGTAATGGCGAACGTCGTCCTTTTATGCAACCTAGCCGGTTGATATATATCAGTGGATAGTGGATTAAAATGTTTGTTAAACAAAATGATTAAAAATTTGTTCGTGTATGCAATTTTATATAGTGATTTTAAAGTTTCTCATATAAAAAATAGTGATAGTATTAATTTGTTAGCATGACATCCGATGAAATTAACCCGGATATAGGGTTAAATAAATCAGTACCAGTGTCTAATTATTATATGTAGTTAACACTTCTGCATTTTATCTTAATATTTTTGTATTATCGACTGGTGTTCTAGACGAAAATATGCCTGTGTCTCGACTATGTCGAGTGGACTACCTGTGTGTCTGACAGCAGCCATATTTTACATCGTTACACGTAAATATTAAAAGTTCAATATCTTGCTTGAAATTAATAGTGTATTTAGTCATTCACCAATTGCAGTAGTTCTCGAATTAGTGTAGTGCAATGTCGACTTGTCATATTATTCACGAAATTGAACACTAAAAGGATAGCTTAAAACTAGTGACAGCCACAGAGTTGAGTGACTTAATATTGTATCATCATTATAACAAATTTATATTCTTCCTAGTCTTCATTTTGTGATAACCGCACAATAACATTACTAAACAATTAGTGATCATACTTGCTGCTTAGTTTCATTTGTTCATTATTATGACGTTCTAATTTCAACTTTTGTTACTTCTTCTGTTAACCTACAATTCGACCGCGACTAGCTTATGGGTAGATGACTGTTTTCATTTTGGCATGATATTTGTCCATGCGAGGGTACTTATGAGTTAAGCGAATTTTATAGCTCGGGCACATTTCGCACGAGTTTCTGAGGGCTCAAAGTAAACTATTAATCCTGGAGTTGCCCTACGCACGGTGCGTGCTTATATTATGCAGCGACGGGACGGGCGTGACCGCGAAAATCGCGAAACCACCCGGACCTCAAGGTAATTCTTATTTAAAATTACAGTGGAATTATCCTGCCCTTTATATATTTAAATCATATATATATATATATATATATATATATATATATATATATTAATTGAGTTTTTAGAAATTTATTTAAAAGCCAAACGTTTCGGCTAGCATCTTAGCCTTCATTCACTGGCAATCAATTTAATTATGGGTGCCACTACCACTGTGCACATACTCATACCATGAATTAATAATGTTTTCATCTGTTATATTAGGATACAAAGTTGTAAGTTTATTATTATTATTATTATTGTTTTTCTATGAAATTCTTTACATATTATTTATTTAGTTTTAATTTTTATAGTTAGATTGATTGCCACTGAATGAAGGCTAAGATGCTAGCTGAAACGTATGGTTTTTAAATGAATTTCTAAAAACTCTCATACTCTTTTTTATTGATGTAACACCCAACTTTTAAACCCAAATAAAATATATTATATCAACATCAAATTCAAATCTATTCAAATATAAATATATATATCTATATATATATATATATATATATATATATATATATATCATCGATTGTCAAAATTAACACGGGTTGTTTTTTAAGGAACTATAAACTAAATATCAAGAATGTTAGTTGTACATCAGTCAAAATAACATTACTGAAGATGAATATTGTAAGTAAATTTGTTTCTTAAGTGAATTTCTGAACTAGAACTTTTAACAACTGAATTTCATAATTGTAATTACTATGCAGTTTGAAAACACAGTATTTAATACGCTTGTAATCGAAATCCAGATAATTGAATCAGGATATGTGTAGATTGTAGTAAAGAGAGTGAATATATTATAGTAGATTTGAGATGATGGTTTAAAACCATACTGTGCGGTATGAACATGTTAACCAGTTCAGTTTTTAGGCACATCCTTCAGTTTGTTTTCTGTTAATACATAATTATTGACCTATATGTACAAATAATAAATTTGTTATTTTTTTTTATTTTTATTGGTTTTATTCACTGTGCCAAGTCATATAAATGTTATTTCGAATGAATAATAAATAAACATTGAAAATTTTGTATGTCTTTGTATTTACTTAACATACTTAACTATGTTTACATGAAAGTTTAATAATTTTATATATATATATATATATATATATATATATATATATGATTATTTTCTTGAAGGGCATAACATCAAGTAAAGAATAAAAAAATTTAAAACATCTTTATTTTGCCATATGTTTCGATGTAAAATACTACAGTCATCATCAGTGGTTTTGAAATTCTTAAACATATTTACAACACATAACTTGTGAACAAGTAATAATTGGAAACAAGCACTAAATGTCATAAGATTAAATAAGCGAGATGTAGCTCATCCGAGGCAAATTTAATTTCTGTCAATATATATATGTGTATATATATATACATATATAATTCAAGATTATTCAAAAATATGTGTATATATATATATATATATATATATATATATTAGTCTCAATAAGATTTTTTTTTATTATAATACGTTATGTTTTTTTTATTATTTGTTAATGTGGAGACACAAATAACATTGTTATTTAAAAACTCATTTAACATTTTTGTAACAAATATATTTAAAGTGTGCAGGATATTCAAACACTCAAACATTTTTGGAAGATTTATTTTATTTAACACAAGATTTATTTATAAAATATAAATGAGAATAATATGTGAATTATTTAGTTCTTCGAATCATTTTCTGTGGAGTAGGACAGGGGTTTCACAATAATTGATAGCACAAATAATTTTAACAATCATTGGCATGGATAAACTAATCTGAAATCTTATTTACATTTATACTCTTTTAGTAGATAAGACTATTCATCATTAATGACGAGATGGCATTTAATTAAAATCATTATATTTACTACTGTTTACTTTTATGTTATATATACTACCATACTGTTTGAAAATACTTTTTGTTCTTCAGACTATTTTGAAATATTAAATAAAAAATATAATCCTCATGAATTTAATGTAAAACGAAGACTATACCTTGATGTTTGTACTTACTGAGTCTTTGATTTCCAGATTTTTGAATTATTATAACACAATAAAATATTTTGATATTTTATTATTTTGATGAATTGACGTTAACGCTATGAAACATCACAATTGTTTTACCGCAATTTTAAATTTTTTGACAGTTTATAAAAGTACATAATTAATACAAAATCTTTCGTGATGTGATATGAGCAAAATGCGGTCATACAAATTGGCTAGAAAACGCATATTCGTATTAATATTCTATAGCTGAATTGCTTTAACGTACAATGTTTCTTCATATACCTCAAGAGGCATCATATTGATCGAAAAGCCAAAAACTGTTCAACTGGTTCTATCAAGGGTGGATGCTCCACGCTTGTTGCTACACTAGTAAAAATACTAGTTGTAGTAATTATACAAAATGGCTTTGATACGGACCCTAAGGTTGTCTCAACACATTCAGTCGATAAATAACTACGATACATACAGCAATTCATAGTATTAAAAAACTAGCGGTATATTAAATCTAAAATTAAACTTCTATCGTGAATTTTTTAAAATCCTATTCATCTTTCCATGTACGGTTTTTCATTTTTCAATAAAGTTCGTTCTGTTACTTATACCATATTAGTCAAATTAATTAGTCAATGAATTCATATTGTTCTATTTATACTTCGGACAAAACTCATCCTGATTTTTATGTCAACACTTAAGGCTAACGATCATTTTTCATGAAACATACTTTGGATAGTCTATAAGTGTCTATAATCCTTACTTAAAATGTGCAATCATTTTATTTTATAAAATATTTCCCTACTTTTAGAATTCAAATTTCCGTTTTTGTATGTGAAAATTCTAGCTCTTTTTTTAGCTTTTCTAGCTCCACTAGACTCATTTTGCAATTATCGAAAATTATTATAATAACGTCTCGAATTTTTATATTGAACGTGCAGAAGTTGGAAGTCTGATAATTTTTCCTGTCGTTGGGAATCCATAATGACTGCACGACGACGCAGTATTCCAGCTCAGTTCGAACCCTCTGACGATACCTCTAGTACTTTATCCATAGGGTACGATGAATCTTAATCCAAATGATTGATAATTATACAAATGAGGTGTTTGATCTCCACCAGCTATATATATATATATATATATATATATATATATGATTGATTTTTTGGAGGGCGTAACATCAAGTAAAAAATATAAGTAAGGTAAAGATTTTTTAAAACATCTTTATTTTTCCATACGTTTCGACGTAAAATTCTACGTCATCGTCAGTGGTTCTACAATTTAAACAAACAGAAAGTAACGTTAAAAATTGAATATACATAAGCAATGGTAAAAAGAAAAGGTTTAACTGAAGAGACAGACTAATTATATCTAACCCTTAAATTATAAAATGCATAAAACATTACTTACTTGAAATTCTTAGATTATCACTAACACATTAATACAGCTTGTACAAATTAATAATTGGAAACAAGCACCAAATGTATTAATATGTGGTAGTGATAATCTAAGAATTTCAAGTAAGTAATGTTTTATGCATTTTTTAATTTAAGGCTTAGATATAATTAGTCTGTCTCTTCAGTTAAACCTTTTCATTTTACTATTGCTTATGTATATTTAATTTTTAACGTTACTTTCTGTTTTTTTTTTTAAATTGTAGAACCACTAACGATGACGTAGAATTTTACGTCGAAACGTATGGAAAAATAAAGATGTTTTAAAAAATCTTTACCTTACTTATATTTTTTACTTGATGTTACGCCCTCCAAGAAATCAATCATACATTTCAACATCAAAAACACTTTCAACATATATATATCGCTGTCGATGTCATCTTCCATTTCATTAAATAAATTTACTATTCACATTGATTTTTACTTAACTAAACTAACACGAAACTAACTTAGGCTTTAATCATCGCCTTAATGAAAATGTTAATTGCACACATATATTTTCCTTTATATCTATTTTGTATATATATATATATATATATATATATATATAACAAATGTATTCTGAGTGGATAATAGATATTAATTTGGAAATATGAACAAACAACACTCTTTTTTGCATTTATTTATTAAATAATAATTTTCACAAACGTTTCGAGACTAGGTTTGTCTCATCATCAGTGTGTTATAATTTAAAATTTAAAATATAGAAACCTAAATTAGCATTTAGTTTTTCAAAACTTGGTTTTCAAGTGGTTAGAGAATGCGGCCACCGACAACCGTTGCTGTGGCAGAGGACAGTGTATCGAGCGACTTGTAATGGATAACACAAAATGCTAATTTAGGTTTCTATATTTTAAATTTTAAATTATAACACACTGATGATGAGACAAACCTAGTCTCGAAACGTTTGTGAGAATTATTATTTAATAAATTAGTGCAAAAAAGAGTGTTGTTTGTTCATATTTCCAAATTATATATATATATATATATATATATATATATATATATATATATATCTTATAAATTAGGTTATTACAATTTTCGCTCTAAGTACTTGTCTTCGCGCATTTGCAATTCGACACTTGCTTGGCGGAGTCAGTACTTTTATACTATAATGTGGATTCAAATTACTACAATTGCCTAAATTATATGTTCTAATGTTTTATAAGTAGTTTTTCATAATGAATCAATATAAATACAGTCATATTTTTTCTTATAAATACTTACTTAAATAATTCATTTTTATTTCGACTTGAAATAAGTAGTTTATAAATATGATTCAAGAAGTAATGTATTATTATTACCCAATTATATATAGATATAGACTATAAATAAATTATATATTTAGTGGCATTTATTAAACAAATAACCAGTTAAATGCTACTTATAAAAGATATTTCGTATCGGTTCCATTAATTTCTCTATCTATTTTATCTTTTTTTAACCAGGACCAGTGGCACCAACCAAGCTGGTGGCGCGGGTGCCGGCGCTGGTCAAGGCACGAACAGGGGTGCTGCTGCAGGCGGAGCAAGTATGCATTCGTCACGGCACAGTGTCAGCTCGTCTTCGGGCGTGCTGATGGTTGGACCGAACTTTCGAGTAGGCAAAAAAATTGGATGCGGAAATTTCGGCGAACTTCGGTTAGGTAAGTTAAAAGAAACATATATTTTTTGTCACTATATTCGATAATAAAGTGAAATGCTAAACATTAATTTGATTATCTATGAGGCTATGAAACTGACTGTTTGCTTCTTAAAATAGCAGTGTCTTGATAATTTTATGCTATTTTTATATATATGAATAAAAATTGTTTTCTTAATTTTTGCTTGAAGGAATTCATAAAAAATTAGGTATTAATTATTCTTGGGCGTTCTACCTCGCCGAGAAAATGCTTCTAAATAAATTTTTTTTGTTACCTTTCCACAATAACCCAACTAAACTGTTAGTCACCGCGGTGGTTTGTTATACTTAATAGCGCAGCATGCTAACATTGTTTACTGTTACGGAAGAAAAGCTCATTCGATTATATTCTCTGCTGAGCAAGTTCACTGATTCGGATCGTATAAAGATGCTGTTTTTACGCTACCATATTAAAGGTTTTATTTACCTTCAACTCACATTTCTTGTTCATAGAATAAAATGATAGACATGGGTTTTTTTCTTTTACTAATTTTATCCAAAATTAAACCCATTCGCCATCATTTTAAAATATGTTTCCGCATGTTATTATTTCCATTACCTACATACATACCTATATATATATATATATATATATATATATATATATATAATTATAACAATTGATGAATTCAAGCCATTTTTAATATTCACGTAATTACTTTCTAATATTGACGATCCGTAACATGCTTGAAATATATGTGAAAGTTTTGCTAACATTTGAAATATACTTATGATATAAATATTCTTGTTTTGAATAATAATTCATTTCTCAAAGATTAATAAAATTTATACATATAATTCATAGTGGTACAATGATTAAATTACAAAACTTTATTAGTGTTGGTCCTCGATAAGATATTGGGGGTTCTTATTATTTATAGATATTATAGACATATTTTGCAAATCTCCAGCATTATATAAACCTTCAAGCTTGTTTTGAAGATGTTGAAAAAATTATTCTATAGCATGACATTTAGTATTGGAGAACAAATTATTTCTCAAAAACCATGTTAGATGTTTTTGTAATGTGTTTTCCTCTGTTTATTGGCATTTATGTAGTTTCACAATTCACAAAGCAAAATTTATTTGAATTTGATTGGTTTTACTTTTATCAAATATATTACTAAATAGCAATAGCAAAACTTATTGAAGAATTATATAATATATGAACCCATATATATTTAATTTAGTATGTCGGTTAGGTTCCTTGCAGAGCGAGTCCATTGATCGTTACTACGCGTTCAAGCGCAACATTAGCGTTCAAGTGCTGTATACTCGTATGTGTAAACCAGCACATACAATAATTTTTGTAAAATATTTACAATTTGTATATAAACTGTTGATTTATAATTTGAAATTCATATAAATATACGTATACTTTCCGGATTTTTTGTAAAATAAAACCACAAATGCATAGCTTCAATATAATTCTTTATGATTAAATTTCAAAAATTTATTAGTGTTGGTCCTTGAAGCATTTATTAGTTTACTTCACTTGATGTTATCTTCTATATATATATATATATATAAAAATAAGTCGGGTTTTCCTTCCTGACGAAATAACTCCAGAACGCACAAACCCATTACGACAATTTTGCATTCGTTGGAAAGGTCTCGGGCTCCGCAAGGTTTATAGCTAAGAAAATTAGTTGTGCATGGCATCGTGTCGTAATGCAAGCTGCTGGAACTTCACGCACCGTAATTAAAAATTTGAGTAATGACATTAGTGAGAATTATCCGAATTATGCTTGGTTAAGACAACGAGCAATTCTTGCCGCAAAGAATAATGATGTACACGCACTGAATTTTACCATTCAATCAAAAATTGCTGTCGATTTGGTGACATACCAATGATTCCGACTGGTCTTCAGTTTGACTTCAAATGATTGCAATTTCCAGTTCGCCTTGCGTTCGCAATGACAAGTCGCAAGGCCATACGCTTAGTGTTTGCGGGATAAATTTCAAATAGATTATTGAGAAAATCATTGTTTTTCACATAGGCAGTTATACGTTGCCTGTTCACGAGTTGAAAAACCATCCGCTTTGTTTGTGTTAACGCCAGACCAAAAAACAAAAAATGTGGTTTACCAAAGATCACTTCAATGAAACGGATAATTTGCGGATTCACTTTCATTTACTTAGAGAAGTTCAACTAAAAAACACTTCATTTTTGTAATCGAAATAAATTCATTACTGTTGTATAATAAAATCAAATTTTTCCTTTTCAAATATAAAACAAACAAAAAATTTCTTCATCTTTCTCACGAGACCATCTGGTGGCGAAACGGAGTTCGTCGGGTTTGCTTGTTACTCATAAAAATGCTTGGCAACTAGATATGTGTAAGAATTGTATTTTATCAATTAGAATCATGTATTATTATAAGAAGATTCGTTAACAATTCATCAAATTACACGATTTTTCAGTGGCCAAGTATTCAGATTTATATTTCAGTATTTCATAAGAAAGTTGTCTCAACATTCTTCGACTCTCAGGTATTATGATAATTTTGATATTGTTTTACTGTCAGTGATGATGATTTACAAAATCGATAAATAACTAACCTATTTTTAATTATTCAAAATCATGCTACTAATGGGTAAAATAAATATACAGAATCTGGTATATCATCGTCATACGTGAAACATCTTTCTGACTCAGGTCTGTTTCTATTTTTTATTTAAGAACACCTGTTCCATACTGCGAACGTATACCGCATTAACGTAAGAAAACGTATGGCTTCGTTTATCCGTGTTGCAACTTTTCGTTGTGAAAGTAGAAAGAAAATAGACCGCCTGAGTCTGAGTCTCAGTCTACTGAAGCAGTTTATGCGTTTTAGTTTTATTCTGATGAACTTGCCTTGTTTGTCTTGAAGTGCCAAGTTCGATCTTTCTTGTTCGGACCTGTCTTGTAGGTTTGCTTGCTCGAACATAACTACTATGACTTCATACATATCTAATACAAGTCTGGACTATTTTTTTATGGATAATAAAGTACAGTAAACCCTCGCTTTACGCGGCAAGTGCGTACCGTGCAGTATGGGAACCGTGCTATAAGAAACTCGTATTTAACATACAATTCAGGCTAATTCGTAGTGCGTTCTATGGAACCTTACATAGTGCAGTATGGGATCCGTGCTATGAGAGACTCACAGTTGGTACAAATCGTACCATTTTTATCGCGCTGTATGGAGACCAAGAAATACCACCTGAAGTAGGAGTAATACCGACGAAATGACATGTAGGGCATTGACACGATTGACACCTTATTCAAAAATTGGCGCGACGCAGTAGTCAGCTCAAACGTGTTCTTAGGCGGCTATTATACAATCAGGCATGTCTAAAAGATAAAAGTCGATAACAAAATTTACATCAATACCCTTTTGCACAACGAACTTATGGGCTGTTGACCAAATACCGTGTAATAAGAAGTCCGTGTAGTCGGAGGGATGTCGGATTTTTAGCTCCGCGTAGTATGGGAACCGTGTATCCAGAGTGCCGTGTAAAGCGAGGGCCTACTGTAGATGGTTATGCACCATTATTAACTTTTGTACAATAAAATATTATGTCACCTATATTTTTTATATTTTTCATCTATATTTTTATATTACGTATAAAAACAGATCATACTATTCAACCATTCAAATCTTATTGTTGATCCTTTTGATTTTATATAATTATACTAAAAAATTTGCTGGTTTTCTTCCACGCCTTCAACAATACTTCTTTAATATACGTATAAGCTAAACAGAAGATTGTGGTTGTATTGTACTTTACTTCCTTTTTTGACACAATAGTTTATTATAGTTGTATTGTACTTGTGGGTGAATGAGGTACCCACATAAACTCGTTTAATGTAACTCTTCTGGCTGGTAGAAAGTGCATTAAATTTTGCAAGACTTTAGTTGTCCTATATTCGTTTTACGACATTGCTCTTCATCTTTCGATTCTTTGTTTTATGCGAATTTTATAGTGATATTCGACATTGTTTTTCACGCTGTATAGTTTACATTGAAATGCTTCTTCAACATTACTTTGTATATTATTATAAGCATTTACAAAAATTTAGAATTTAAGATTTTATCTAAATCTAGAATTTAGATTCATTTCTTGTTTCACTGCAGGCAATTGAGTCTATTACGAACTTACGTACCATGTACAATTATATTAAGTTTCATAATTTGGGACAGGAAATCAAATTATACCGAGGTCGACCACATATACGTAGTATCCGATTAATTTTGTTAAGCTTCCAATATTAGTGTACAAAATTTGATTTTCAATACGATTTATTTATAAAAAAGATTTTGGCGCGAGTGTTTTAACATATGTGATAAGCATAAGATGCAAATGGAATATGGTTTTGAATGTAATAATTAGTATTTCCTTAGATATTTTATCTTTGTTATGAAATTATTTTGTTTTCATCTATAATGTTTAGTTCCTGATATTTTTTCAAATGTTTCTTTAAACATAATTATATTATTAAGTGCATTTCCTGCTGACGCGTTCATTATAATCTAATTAATGATTAATTAATATAATTATATATAATAAATTAATGAGTAATTAATTAGTATATTCAATCCGTTTAATATATAATCGACCGACAGTTAATGATGTAATTATGCCCGTTAACTTATATGAAAATGAATGACGATTATATTGTTTTTTATATCCTGATATTAATTTTACTGCACTTTCATACCATCGTTAAACATTGGTACAACCAAATATCATACACGATGAACTTACAATTGTTACGCTAGTTGGGATTAATTAAGTTATGGGAGGAAGCTGTTATAACAAGCTTAGATGACGTCTTATTTAATGAAACTGAATGGAAAAAAATATTTGTTGTTTGAATGGTAGGAGTACGTATGTCAATCATAGTAAATCGATATTTGGTAAAAGTACTTTTAACATCTAATTTGAAATTGCTCATTATTAAGTGTACACTTAGCAAAC